GTTTCCTTAAGCTATAGAAGGCAATGAGATAGAACCCAAAATGAAGCTTGAAGACTGTTTACTTGAAAGCAAACAGGATAAGGAAGATGAAACAAGAATAAATGGAGCATTCAGAAACTGGAAGTTTTTAATCGGTTCCATCCATGGCCCTAACTGGAGTCCTGCATTAATAAGCAAGTCCTGATTTTATTTTCACTTCTTGCCCTATTTTTCAAAGGCATTTTCACAAGTATTGAGGAGACATAAATGTCAATAACAGTTTGGAAAACAAATTATGTCTTTCTGAAAATTTAATCCTTGACAGTTTTCCTTTGCCCTTGGCATTACCTGTCTATCTCTCAACAACAAATGTCTTAAGAAAAAAATTATTTAGAATGCAAGCACCTTGCATTCCACTTTGGTATGATTCATTAAAATACAAGAGAGGATCGTCATCTGGAACAAACTGTAGCTCAAATCAGAGATAAACAGATTTCTATCCCCTTAGTTTCAATATTCATCAAAATCATATCATGCCTTCCATTGTGCTGCAAGCCTGTATTCATCAAGAATGTACGGAATAAAGCCAAACTTATTCTCCCAAGTTGCTTTTATGCTCAATTATAACATTTCTATCCATTTAAATAAGTATAATGTATTATGAACCACACTCAAGTCTTGGCTAAGCATGCAAATTATCAAACAAAAGAAAAAAAAAAAAAAAGGGAAAATTCAAGTTATTTAATGCTCTTTCCTCTATGGTACACCTTTAAACTCATGCAAAATTATTAACACACAAAGCACAACCTGTATACATTTCCAAAAGACTACAAACCTGTTTGTGAGTTAAGAATTATTTGACCCTGAGATGCCTTTACCTAAAGCCTCCCTGTGAAGATCTAATTGTGCTCAAGAGTTCACAGATGTGGGTAAGCCACTTCTCATTAAACTTTCTAGAACTCCGTGAACCCCTTTGACATGTATTTGCAAATGTAAATATAAACATTCACTGGATTGTGAAACTATATTTCATTCTTCTCCAGAGGTGAAAAAAGATCAACCACAAAGGGAAGGAACCAGTTGTGTTTTGTGTTGTTTTTTTTCTTATAAGGTATATGCTTAATCCCACACAAACTAGAGAATCTACAATTAACCAGTTTTTTACTTTGGTTCTTTAGCTCAGGGGAAAAATGTAAGAACTTCACTATTAGTGAGGTTTTTTGTGACTTGGGTGAAGTTCAACAGGCACCTGCAACAGCACAGAAACTCCACCATGTTAATTATTGTTCTGCCATCAGGTGGTCCAGCCAGATTATTGGGATCAACTACCAATCACCTGTGAAAAATTCCAGATTCATCCAACACAAAGAACTCTGAGACAATCTGCAAACTCCAATATGTATCAGGAGGCAGTGCAGACACAATGCAGTGGGCAACAGACACACCAAATCATCATGTTTTGTTCACACCATTATTTTTCTAAACTGGGACAGTCCAGTCTTACCAACCATTCAGCTTCATTCCTTTTTGCAAGAGACTCCTCAGATAATACCATTCTAAGCTTGCCACGTGCTAAGCGAACTGCCATGTGAAAGCAGGGAAGTCTCTTGTCTTTAGGGGGGGAAAAATGGTAGGTCAGATAGAATTATGCTTCAGTGTGAATAAAATACTTCACAGGCTGTGAGACTAAACTAACCTAAAGTAATGAGGAGTGATTTAATAGACATGGATGTGAACTCATCCATTTTACTTGCACTCAGCAACAACTCTTAAAAACTAATTCTATAAATATTTGTGTAATTAATCCAACCTTAAAACCATGCAGACGTTTTTACTTCTTCAGCACAGTAAAACACCCAATGTACAAGAAGGCTGCATGATCAAACTTCAAGCACACTTCAAGCACAGTTCAGACTCTGATATCCTGTAGGATTAGTTTAAATCTGCTTATTTCACTTTCTCGAACATCAGAACAGCCAGTTCTCTTCATTTGTTTGCTCATTTTATTCCTGTACCTGTCACTGTGCTCTGTACTTACTGAACAGTGATTTTTATTTTTTATTCCTTTTTTTACCAGAAAAATAGCAAGTCTGCCAGAATACACACACACACACTTGAAGGCTTATATTAGTATACCAAAAAATACGTTTTAATCACTCAACATTTATACAGAAGATAACCTTAAACAAGCCATTATTAATCTTTTAAAAAGCAGTTTTCTCATTATTATGCTCTCTTTGTAGTCTCATACTCCCTCCCTCCCCCCACTCTTTGGGGTATATATTCTGAAATTTCACGCATACCATAAAGTATCTTTGGAATGTTACAGTATAATTGTTTGGAGAAACATTTAATGGATGAGTAAGCATCAAGGGGCCATGGCTAAGGGAAAAGAAAAGTTAAAATGCTAGAAGCATTTTGTATTGAGGGTTCTTCTCCACATGAGAATGGGAGATGGACATTTGATCCAAAAATCTGGTACTGACTCAAGTGATAGAAAACCAGCAGCCAGCACTGAAACACATGAAGCCATCCAACCACCTCAGAAAACATCTGCTACCCCCACTTCTTCCAAACTGGCCTTCAGGCACCATCTAGTAAAGCAATCACATGCTGCAGGGTATTATTTGATAACATGAATATTACAATAGGTCATTACTTGATTTTGACAACTGGATTTTTTTTTTAATGGGTTGCTTCATTTCCCAATTTACAGCATCTATCATTTGCACATGCTTGATACAAAAATGCAACAGAAGTAACTGAGTATAAAGCTGGATACTGAGTACAGAGACAGCTAATAAAAGCTGAACATTCTCTGGTTAGTGGAAACTGCTGCAGACAATACACTGTAAATTAAAGCCAATTTCCCTGAATTACCTGAAGGACTGCTCCTGCCAGAGATTCGAAAAATCCATTAGCAAAGGCCAAACATTATAGTTTTCTTGATGCTTTTCTGCTGAAAATAGTTTGAAAAAGCACATCGAAAATAAAATACACGGTGTATCAGGGGCTGGGGAGTGGGACAAATCAGGCCTAACCTTACATAATTGATTCATATCCTGATTATTAGAGAACAGCTGAGATGGTTTTTTACTCTCAGTTCTTCCACTTCGCTGTACTTTTTTAAGCCAAGAAAAAGCAAAATAATTACCTCCCTACCTGAATTTCTGACTAGAAGAATAGATCCTGGGGCTGGAGAGGTGCCATATGCTGATATGCACTGCTCTGGAAGTCGAGCAGTTTTTTTTAGCAGCAGTTAGAAAAGCCAAACTTCCTACAGGTTTGTGTCACAGCTGAAGCTTGTCTTATGATTGGGCACCTAAAATCTCTGTTCAAGAGGATTCTGTGGAGCTCAACAACATACGAGTTGCAGCTGGTGCAGTGCAATCTATCCTAGCTTGATGCTTCCACAGCATTGTCAGAAAGAAATTGTCTTTGAAGAACTATTTCTACATCAAATTTGGTAGAGAAAAACATAAAAAAGAATTTGGGATGCATAGCAGAATGATTCTATAAATCTCACCTTGTTAATAAACTTACAGACAAGTAGTACAAATCCTGCTATGCAGCTTTCTAGTACATTTTCCAAAATTCCTCATCTATTTTTAAAATGTGTGAATGGAAATTATATGTAAAAATAATGGACTGCACACGCTGCTTGGTTAAGGCTTTAAGAGATATTTGTAGGCACATAAGATTGCAAGGGGCTTCCCAGGTTTCCATCCTACTATCAGAAATGCTCTATTAAATCTCTTCCCGAAGACATACATCCTTACTTTAAAAGGGCTTTTCTTTTTGCATAGTCCCCCTTAAATAATCTCAGAAACAGGATATTTCTTTTAATTTCCAGCTTAATTCATTAAAGACTCCATCAACTGGCCACTTAGATGAAGCACTTCAGATTGTGTAGGACAAGTTTTACATCCTCCAGTTTTATTTACCCTTCTCTTCAGCAGCAGTGATGCAGATGTTGCTGGCACATAAAATCATTGTCCTAACTCTGTAACTTTTTTCTGATGCCATACTCAAAGGCAATTCCATGGGTAACTTTTTCTATTACTACTTTCACTTGGTTAATGACAGGGAACCATAATACCACTGTTGATTTTAAAAAAGGTTATTTCTTCTGTTACAATGACCAGACCAGAGCCTGTAAATATGTTTTTTGGGGTTAGGGTCATGGAGAACACAACACGGCTTACAATGAAGTCTAACAAACAAGGTTATGTTAATCTTTTCAGCCACATAAATCCAAGAAAATCAAAAGCAAATGTCTTCCTACCATAGCACCACAAAACCCAACCCTAGATACTGCCATCTCAATGCCTGCTGGGATGTTTTCTGCTAACCATCCATTCATTAGATTTCTTTTAATTCTCAGTACACACATTCCTCCACAAGCTGGACTGATTTCTTCCACAGTTTAACTTGTTTTTGCCAAAGTCTCTTTTAGTTCAGCACTGGCTGGCTGCCTAACAAAACAACCTTTCCTTATGCCAAAACTGTCATCTTCAGATGCACAGGACTCATCTTACTTACAAACATGTAAAATGAGCCCTACATTTAATGCTTGAAGAAATGCTATTTTAAATGATGTCTAGCAAAACTTAATCAGACACAGAAGCAGTCAATACCAGACCCTGGGAGGAGAAGGAAAGAATTCTCAAGGAAGATTCTTCTTCCTTTTGAATTTAAGTACACCTTGTAAAACGAAAACTCTAAACTAATTATTAGAACATGAAAGCACATGCATTTAACCACAGATAGCAGTGGGAAATGTACAGCTCACTCTGAACCTGAAGTTGAAAGCTTCACTAATTCAGTGTGGACACATCACTACGTAATGATCACATGCACCATCAACTTGTCTCTTATTGAATAGACTGGCCTTTAAATATAAGAATCTGAAAACTTTGATAAGTTATCAAGTATTGATAATGACTGAAAGAAATCCATATAAATAAACCTCTTGCTCTGTTTTTCTGCTGTAATTTCAGTCAGAGCTGAAACAAGAATACCTGTGTGAGAAGTTGTTCTTCAGTTAGATTATTGATCCAACGCGTGTAACGTTCAGTGGAATCCAGGGGTTCTCTTCTGACTTGGCACCCAATAATCTAAAGCAAAATGAGACAAATCACACAGTGCTGTACAGCCACATGGCAAAAAGATCATCCAATAAGCATTCAAAACATGGAAACTCCAAGAATTAACAGTATCTGTTCAGTCCTTATTAGCCTCCTTATATGTTCATATCATAATATGTCTAGTATATAATGTCACAGTTGCTCAGCTCAAATGTTAAACGGTTACAGACCTTCAATGATCTCTACGAAGCTAACATTAAGAAATAGCTACACTTGAACTACTTCCCTTGAAATTTTCAAAGGAAAGTCATCCAAAGGCAGACATCTGGAGGGCAGAATTTCAACCAAAATAGCTGAGGTTTGTCAAATGAATATTACAACTTGAATAACTCCAGACAATTGTACCAAGAGTGCCATCACCTATAAAACTGTATGTTACTTGTAATTCATATAAAATAAGGAGAAAAAATTAATCTTTATTCTGATTTGTCTCATTCATGGTAGAAAAATGTAAATACTTCATTTTAATTGTTCACTGAAGTACTTAAATCCATTTGAGCAACATTTGCATCTCCAATACTGTTCTCTTGCAGTACAGGTTACACATGAATTTTAGTATTCTGAACACCTATTGGCATAATAAATAGCTTCCAATATGCATTAAAAAGAGCATATAAGAGGGATTTCATATTATCTGTAACTGCATAGACACATATTAATGCAGTTTCCTACAAACACTAAATTGTTTATAGATCTCTGGTTAGACAAGGAAAGAGCCAAGGAGAGCTCCTGCAGTGTGGCTGTGCTCTGCTGTTTGCTACTCCCCATGGCCTGCTGTCCACCCTAAACCTTCTACTACAGGACTTCATTATATATGCAAAGTAAGCTGACATCGTTTTATATCAACTACTACACTCCTGTCTATTTCTCTTCCAGATTTTGATGGGTACTTCCTGTTGAGGATGTGCTCATTCGTTGAGAACAAACACCAAAGTGCAGCCATCAGCATTTCTGAAAAGTTACTTCAGATAATCAAGTACTGTTCAAGAACAGTGTGGAAAAGTTACCTGGTTTATTTTCCACCCTAAGCATCCACAAGGATCATAAGTGTATACACTGAGCACAGCAAGTTTAGATCTTTCAGGCATCTCCATTTACAGTGTTAAACCCCACACAGGTGTAAGTAGGCTGTGTAAACCCCACACAGGCTAGAATCCTGCACGTGCAGTTATGAATACTTTTGATGTGGGAACAAAAACACCACAAAGAGATCTTGCTGGGGGACTGCTGGCAACACAACCCCACAATTTAGAGTATGACTAAATACAATCAAAACAACAAACATGAAAAGAAACCACAACTTGCTTATCCTATAAGAATAAAACAGTGTCTCAGAACTATTAAATTTTTCCTCAATGACAACTACTAATTACCATGGACAACTTCAATCCTTGCCCCATCTCTCTCTTGAATTACAGCTAAGTTAACCCAAAATTCTTGTAAATGGAACATCAGTTAGATGATTTCACAGATGTTTTCAAAGGGGGCACCCCACACATAAATATTTCACAGAAATTGCATCAGAAATACATATATTCTGTTCTGTGAGGATTATTTTTATATAAGGCCTCTGACTAGCACTCATTAACCAAGACACACCATCTTCTCTAAAATCCTAGGATTTTTCTAGCTTGCAAGGACACTTCACAAAACTGTGCATGAAAGTTGAAATGGAAAAATCACCAAACATTTTTTTCTAAAATGTATTCTATAATAATACAATATGGAAACTTAGCTTCTTTATTCAGGAAGTCACAGCCTCAGCTGAACAAACACAGAACACAAATAGCTTCTACAAGGTAAAAGATAAAAAGGAGGATATCAAATTGTTTGTCTGAAAATGTGGTTTTCTATTAGAGCCAAGAAGTATATGTGCAGTCATGTCTTTCTATGTCATCTGAAATTAAAATGAGACTCGGGGGACAGAGTTTCATATTTTTATATTAATTTCTGACCAGTCTGACCATTTTCATACATGCTGCTGGTAGTTTAAGCAAACTAAAAAATGCTGATTCCAGGTGCTCAGCAAAAGGACTGTAATTCCCCCAAACCCAAATAACAATTAATTTAAATCTGAACTCCTTATACTTCCAGAGAAAACAGAAAGGGTTTGATCAATTACCTGAAGGTGAGGACACACAGAATAACTGTTACTTTGGATCCTGATGGCTCTTTTTGTAGCACACATTACTTTTTGAGATGTCTGGAGTTTTATTTAGATTCTTAGCCAAAATTTCCTCCTCCTTCTATATAGCCCTATATATAAATCCATTCCACAGTCCAATTTACTTTTCTGAGTTTTGGCTTGTAACAATGATTCTGTACTTCCTGCATGCAGGCCTGAAAATACTTGGAGCTTTTGAGAATTTAAAACACCCTCATTCAGAAAAAAACTGCTCATAAACAACTTAGTTAGGAATTACTGTTATTGCAGTGATGTAAATCCAGAACAGAAAAAACAATAGGTTACAATGAATTTCACAATAATTTAGGGCAGAATCCTTGGAAGTGTAACTTTCCAAACTCCTTCATCAATTGACCTGCCTAACAGCACAACAGACTGAAAGGATAACAACCTAGAGCCTTACATATAAACACTCTCATAAAATAAAAAAAACTAGGTTTAAAAAAAATTTTAAAAGCACACAGCAATTTTGTTTTCTACAGCAAAGCTCAACTTAATGTTTAGAACAATAGTAAAATCAGTGTAAGAGATTAATTTAGAAAAGATACATAAATAAATATAGAAGAAAGTAATAGGACTGGCCTCTGGCCAGTGTTTCAATAATCAAATTACACTTTTTACCTAGTTCAATGACAAGGTAGAATAATCATTAGGGGAACCCTTCCATTGTTGCAACTCCAAGTCACTTCAACAGCACCCTGAACACCCACAGGTTCATGGCAAATGTAGTTTCACTAGAGTTGATGGCAGAGGGTTTGAACAACAAGCCATCTCCATGCATTTCACTTCCATGACTAAACAGGACACAGCTGATGACCCTTGGTCCTTGAATTTTTGAAGTAAGAGCCCAGAACCCTCCATTCTGTAATCACTAACAAAGCTGGAAGCAAGTGTTATGATGACCTACTCTAATATCAATGAACGCTTAAAATGAAGAACAGTAAAACCAATGCTCAGAATTAATGTGAGAAAGAAAAGCTCCTTACTGGAAAAAATGAAGACAACTCAAAATGTAACTTAGAAAATAAAAAATCTTCTGAGGCTCCACACATTTACTAATGTCCTCATTTTGCTAAATGACATTTAGTATATGATACCTTCTACTCCATACCTTTGGCTTCTTACTCTTTTCTAGTTTGAGCTCTAGCAGGCAGGCATTATTGATGAATGAAACAGCTCTGATAAAGTTAATGTAAAGGTAAGGTTCAGATTTTACTCTAATTTCTTCTCCCTTAATAACTACAAGTGCATAACAAAGGTAGCATTTTGTAAGAAGTAAAATGTTCACACTTCCCTCTACCCTAACACAACAGTGAAATGTTTTGCACAGCACACAGACTTCTTGCTTTCTTTTAATTTTCAGAACTATTACCCACTCAAGACTGCTTTTAGCATCATCTTCAGAGGTATATTCTAAAGACACATCTTAAACTTGATGCTATGCAATACATTTATTTCTAGATCCTCAGCCAAAAAAAACCCCACACCTTTCTGCTCTTTAGCTGTACCACTCCTCTCCCATGTGACAGTGACTCATGACTGGGATTCTTGACTTGTATGGGTGCAAGGTAGACATCACCAAATGAGAGCAACTAAACCTGAGCCTTTGATACAGCTCCTGCAGGGCACAGCTCATTTAACCTGCTGCTTTCCTCCAATCAAAATCAGGATTACTCAGAGTACAAACAGCTTCCTCTAGTTCCCCTGTGGAAGGTGTGGCATCAGAAGCAACTGCACCCTGTTTCCCATTTCCCTCACAGACCTTTAATATTCACTTCACTGAGTATTTCCTTATAGCTTTCAAATTGAAGTGAAAAGCCTTTTAATTGTGGCTTCTTTCATAAGTTTTAAACTTGGACAAAAATCTTTCTGGTCTGTTTTACACCCATTCAGACTTCCAGAACACAGGGAACTCTCCATATTAGACACATGCTTTTCAATATTTTGATTATTCATTCTTATGCAAAAATAGTTAATCCAAGTTTCAACTTTTTTATCACTTTCTTTTATGAATTTATTTAATTAACCGACCAATAATGACATGGAAGCAGGTATCAGAAATATATGTGGTGACAGCAAGGAAAAATCCACAGTTTGCTGTACAAAATAAATGAGCCTCCTCAACTGACCATATTAAATGAAAACCAACTTTCAAAGGTAAACACTTTCTACACAGTGAGAAAAAGTGTGTAGTGTTGAGGTTCATGTTAGAAATATGACTGAATGACGTAAACCTCCCAAAAGAGAATGTAATTAACTTCTTAGTGAAGCTATAATTAGAAGTAATGACATCTGATCCTAGATAATGTTCTATGGGAAGAAAGACTATTCCAATAACAAGCAGTACAGGAATTATTTTCTCTTTTCCCCCCAATATGCCTGTTTGTGAGTGCCCACAGAAAGAAATTTCCTAAACTAAAAAAGCTAATAGGAGACATTAACCTTATCCTGAATTTTTTAAGAACAGCTTTTGTTAATCTTGCCTACATCTTGACATATAGAGGGAAGGCAAACGTCACCTGTGCTGCCTCCAAGCCCCACTTCTGTATTTTTGTTGTATTGATTTCTCCCTTCTCTCCCACTTGATGTGACACTGCAAACATATCCTGAAATTCAGAAGAAAACTTGACAGGAGAGTGAACATTTTTCTCTCTGTCTTCCCTCTGTATTGAGGTATTTGCTTCTCATTAATGTAATAGTTTAAATATTATTTGGTTGTAAAAACTTTTATGAAAGTTTTCATTTTCCTCCTGGGTACACACAGACACCTTTATAAATGTGTATA